AAACAAGTAATATTCTATGACCATGCCATTTGGTAGAATTATCTGCTAAGTGTTTTCCTTTCCCCGGGCAATGACGAGTATCACATCTACATATAATGATATATTATTAATTTATCTGCCATTTCTTTATAAAATGTTATAACATTTCTAGTTGACTAATTAACATGCAGTCTACAAATATAAATGCGTTCATCAACCGTAGAAATGTTTCATATACTATTTAACTGCAGTTTTCATGATATAACTAATATTTTCATTGAAACTAGTTGTTTCAATTTTTGAAATCAAAATTTAATGACACTTTGACAGCTTTAGCACAATCAGGATTTTGTTTGCCTATTGTTGTGATAGGTCCGACACAAATCCCTCTCTGGGTGATTTATAGTGCCATGAATCATAACACAGTGAAGGTTAATTAGCAACCCCTCCTTGCAAACAAACAAATTAAATTAACACATATGTTTGACCTACAAACCAGGCACGGCTATTAATACCTGCTGTTTTCCCAGGGATAAGTCCGATTAACCCTAACAAAAACAATTCACTGAGAGGGTCCAGTGAGAGAGATTTATCTGAACATGTATACAGTAAATCCCAAACTATTAACCTTATCTAAACCATCTAAACCTGCACATTGCAGCTTTGTATAAACTATCATTATTGTAATGAATGGTAAAACATTGGTTTCCTAGGTTTGTCCAACAGTGAAAGACAAGATTTAAGTGGCAAATGCAAATGATTTTTTTCCCATCTTAATAGTTTATTTTATTATATTCATTAATTCATTTATTTATTTTCTATGTTTTACTGTAGTTAGCTTGAGCAAAAATTTCAATGCATACGAAGTATATCAAACATGTATTTAATTATGCATTTAGCTATGTCTAAATACACCTTTCAGTCGAAGAAAATTCTGGATAGAAAAATATTTGAGTGATTAAATGTTTATTCTCTTCACTTAAAACTTTTCATATCTTATTTCATATTCTTCCATTTCGAATGACTATGTCATTGTCTTAAAAATAAAAGCAAGTTATTTACAATCGACAGTGTCAATGTACTTTACTTGAGATATACAGGTAAAGAATTATTCAATATAAATTTCATTATTGAACCGTCTCAAGCAGGTACCAATATTGAAAGTTATCAACTTACAATGTTCAGGGTATTTCGAAGTGTTTCTAGAGTATTGTAAAAACAATGCATACTCAAATTCTGTTTTCCTTCTTGTATATGTACTCATGGTTGCCCCTGAGATTCTTACCTCACACTTTATACAACCAATGTTGTTTAATATGTGTTTACTTTCCGTAAGGAAAGTAACAATTCCTTCATAAGATCAGCTTCAAACGGTGCGTTTTCCCAAGAGCAAATTTGGAGTCACAGTTTTGACACTTCTACTTTCTCCAGCATATTTGATCAGTTCTTCCTATATAACAAATTTGGACTATTCAGGTTTTGACAATCTATGCAAAATTTGCTTCAACATAATCCTTCTCGTATGACAAATTTGGAGTACTCGCGGGTTTTGACAATTCTATGCAAAACATGCTCCAACATATTCCATCTTATATAACAAATTTGGAGAACTAAGGTTTGGATATTTATTGCAATAATTGCTCCGGCATATTCGCTTTTATATAGATAACTAATTTGTAGTACACGGTTTTGACATTTTATGCAAAACTAGCTCCAGCATATTCCCTCCTATATAACAAATTTGGAGTACACAGTTCTTGACATTTCTATGCAAAACTAGCCCCAGCATATGCCATCTTATATAACACATTTGGAGTACACAGTTCTTGACATTTCTAAGCAAAACTAGCTCCGGCATTATCCCTCTTATATAACAAATTTGGAGTACACAGTTCTTGACATTTCTATGCAAAACTAGCTCCAGCATATTCCATCTTATATAACAAATTTGGAGTACACAGTTCTTGACATTTCTATACAAAACTAGCTCCAGCATATTCCCTCTAATATAACAAATTTGGAGTACACAGTTCTTGACATTTCTATGCAAAACTAGCACCAGCATATTCCATCTTATATAACAAATTTGGAGTACACAGTTCTTGACATTTCTATGCAAAACTTACTCCACCATATTCCCTCTTATGTAACAAATTTGGAGTACACAGTTCTTGACATTTCTAGGCAAAACTTACTCCAGAATATTCCTCTTATAAAAAAACTATTTTTGTGTGCAAATAAAATCTCTACAATACGCCCAAAACAGCAAAACTGAAAATGTTGCAGGATTGGTTTGAATGAGCCTGTTCAAGGATGATACTGTAAAATGCAAGTTACTGTTCATCCGCCCAAAGCATGTTAAAAGATATACTATACTCATCTGAGAGTAAAATGTTTTTTTCCCAGAAATTATTTGAAATCTATGTATTTATTTCTAAATATGTCTTATTTTAATAAAAGATAGTACAAACTGTGTTTGGGAAGCTGCATATTAGTAAAGTTGACCCCTTCTTATTTTTTTTTTCTTTCTTTTTTTATTGACACTTTACATTCTTATTGTGCCTCCAAATTGTGTAGAGTTTCAGACATAAGATATCTTCTTAGTGTGTAGTCAAAACATGTTTATTTTATATTTAAAAAGAGACTGTGTAGCAATTATCAATATTTAAAAATACAAAAAAAATGAGCATATTAATTATATCTTTAAATCAAATAATTTTTATTTTAACTTATCATACAGTTACCCAACTAAACATAGAATTATATTTTGTGAGCAAGAGCTGATATTTTCTTTTATCAAGTAAGATTTATAACAGGAGATACTGCAGATCTTTTTCACCAATAGAAAATTATCAGCTGTGACATGTGCATTTCGTTGGCCTAAGAAACATGACTTAAGTATGTTCGTGGCTCAAGAAATTAAATTGTTAAATAGTATATTATTAATTTTATGTCTTGATAACTTCAAGTTAAAGCAATATTGTCTTTGTTGTTGTAGTAGTAGTTGTCGCATAAAACTTGAAAGGTCAATCATCTGTGTTGCAGATGGCCAAGGCTTCATACTGTTGTCCATCATTCCATGATGACGAAACAGATTCTCCTAATCTGCTGCAGAGTTAACACTGGACCTACTGTCCGCAAACTATAGACTTTCCAAATTTTGTTGCAGAGTTATGTAAGACCTACTGTCCGCAAACTCTGGGGTCGTCGCAGTACGCCTCAGTACCTACTGTACTGGTTATAGCGACGGTTGGGCTTCTTGAAAAGTGAAGTTCCCTACTGGAACTGAACACTTTGCCCATTCTTGTAGCAATCCATGTGGAAAATATAAATGGATAATCAAATCAAAAACAGAAGTCAATTGTTATATCCAGAATATTGTCACTTAAATTAAATTATGAACAAACAAATCCGGTATTTAATCCATTTTACAAAAGTTATTAAGTAATTGTATTAATCCATTTAACAGGAATAATTGAATAAATCTTAATTCTATTAATAACACATAAACACATAAATTAAGAGAAATTAACTGCGGCCACTCTGATAGGATACTTATAGCGTTCTGCTTGGTCATCTGATAAGATCATATGTTTATCTCATTAACCCTAGGTGGTCCAGTACAGTAGAATTATTATTCTGCTGCCATGATCGGCGTTTATATGATTTTCAACAAGATAGATGATTTATGCGGAATGAAACGATCTATTGCGCGAGTCCTGTATATAAGTACAAGAACTTAAAGTATTCACATACATCAGTTTTTCACTCCGGAACCCATCTTAGAGTTCTTGCTAAGTTGAAAACATTTTTATTTACATTTTCTTCATATAAAAGGACCATGTTTTCGTATCTCCGTATACAAATGGTAAACTGAACACTTTTCTGATTTGATGTAATGTGGGTAGTTTACCAAACTACCAAGACTTAATTTCGTGGAAATAGGTTAAAATCTTATCATACTTAAACACGTTGTCTCCATTTGAATAGGTATTGTTTTTCTTAAGGTAAAACGCATCGGTGTAAGAGCTGTTGCATTACATTGCCATAAACATCTCACTTTTTTTAATATGTTATGCCGACGAGTATTTTAAGAACACAAATATAGTTTTTTTTATTTATTTTATTTATTCGAATTATTGTAAACATTAATCACTTCAGCGGAAAATATCCTTTTCAAATTCGTAAAATAAAGTTTCAAGTTTCGTAAAATATGTTGATAATCTAAAGCACAGTTTTAAAGCCGCGAATGAAGTCATGTCCGCTGAATTCATACAGTTAGTCTTTTTCCCGATGCTCGACTGTAAGTCATTCGTTTATACATGCGTTCTTCTTTATAGTTTTTCTTTAAAAAGCTTCTTATTCTTTAAATTTTTCTTTTATTTAGCTGTATACATCATTTGAATTTTATTACAGAAGGACTATTAAATTATGATGCGTTGCCCTAGAATTTAATAAACTTTCTAAATACACAATAGTGGGTGGTTCATTTAATCAAAGAATGATCCTTGTGTCTTTCTCTGAAATTATTATTTCCTTGTTTTGTTCTGGTAAGAAAACATATTAAACCTGTTTTAGTTCTGATATTAAAACGGCACATCGAAAGGCCGCGTTGCAATTGTTTTTTTTATAAATATTGTTTTTATAGTCTATATACAAATTAAATCAGGCGCAGAGGATGTAACTTACAAAGTTTTCGGCAAGGGTTACCACCGCTTTTGATTATTTCATAAGAGGAAGCCATTCAACTAGCTTAAATTATCCTGGTTATTCTACTCAGGTGCCCATTCGTGCCTGTTATAATGCACCTGAGATCTTTCTTCACCAGTAAAGCTGAAAGATGTTATGTGACATTTACGGTGCGACGTTAAATCAAACCTAAAAAGTACACATATCCAAGAATTGATAGTATGGACAATGTGACATAATGGTTCAAAAAAAAGTTTCTATACTTGAAATTGTACAACAAAGTAGAACGCAAGCCAGTTCTTTAACCTTTTTTTCATTTATGTATAGATATGTTGTTTCCATGATGTCAAATATTTGTCACTTAATGCACCCTACAAGCTAAAACAAATCATAGCATATTTATGTGTGATTGTCTACATGTATGTTCTCTATTTAAAAATATATATTGTATAATTAGAATATTAATTGTTTACTGACAAATATTTATAAGCGGGGCTACACGCTTTCTCCTTTTCCATATACCCTTCATTGACGCAGCCATTTCGATTATACAATGTATTTTTAGAAATAAAGAATGCATATATAATGTTTTTTTCAAAATAAATGGAACATTATTGCACACCGATACTTTTTTCTATGAACAAATTTTTCGAAGTATTAAATAAATATTTGCTTACTGTATAGAATATTATATTAAAACTATACAAAATAAATATTGAATATCGAAAAAAAATGAATTATTGAATTTTGCAAAGTTTATCATGCCATATCGTCATGTTATAACTATTTATATGAAAAATATTATAATGTTTATCATGCCATATCTACATGTTATAACAATTAATATAAAAATATTATTACATTTTTCGTAGAATTGTAAGTTAAGACTGTGTAAAAGAATACCTCAAAATGGCGTATCTATTACACATTAGATAACACATTGTATAACTCCCAAGATGTTCAGATTTTAATCATTATGATTTCATGATATATTTTCCAACGACATTTGGGTAATATATAATTAGCTTTGACACAAACTGAGCAATAAGACGTCAACTTTAAAGCAGTTGAGTTGTGTCAATTCAAAGTGGAATTATTCCACTTCAAAATGAAATTTTCATTGATGATTTCATTCGAGGACGCTTCGTGCTCTAATAATAGTGTTTTGTTTTTTGGTTTTTTTAATTTCTTAATGAGATACATATAATATTAACTCAACACAAACAAACATCTTTTCTGTATCATAAATTTGTTTACATTTTGCGCTGAAAATAACAATTAAAGATTAAAAAGAATTTTTTTACAATATCTTTTATTTAACTACCTCATTTCATAAAATCCATTTGCGTAACATCATTTATTGTTCATTTATAAAACTGTACACAATGTATATACATGTACATTGCATCCAATTTACGTGTGCAATAAAATCATGTTCGCAAGAGATAAATTGAATATTTATATACATATTGTGTGTAGTATTGACAGAATGAAAACATTCCAATAACATGTCATTATCACGCCTGTTTTTGCTATGTATAAACATATACAACAGAGCATATCATATGTCACATTTAAATCATTATTATTATATAGCGTATATTTGCTTTACATACATGTATTTGTTTTTTCTACTACCTCGAGAGCAGACATATAGAATACATATGTACATAAATATAATCCAAACATTTAAAGATCAATATTATGGTGTTCAATATACTAATACCCCCGTCACAATCGGCACTGTAAAGAACTAAATAATTGACAGCAACATTGATCAGTGTTATGCTTTATAGGAGGTCTGCCTGGAAAGTTTTAACAGAATTGACTGTACGGTTAACGGGTTATGAATACCTTTCTGAATTAAAACCTGAATATTTGAAGTGCCTTTTTTTCTGAAATGAGAAAACTCTAAAGAAAATCAATCAGACACGTATCGTTCTTATCTCAAATGTTTTTTTCTGTTGACTATGGTTAAAACAATTCACAAAATGGTTATATTTGTACTCAAATTATCTGAAGTATGCTTAAAAATGTTTTAAACACTTATGTTGACCATTTTCCTACAGAAAAACAAAAAGTTTACCAAAATGAGAATGAACCTGTTTTTAAATATTGTTTAGATTTATTCTCAAATGTATATTGACTGATTTAGTTAAATATTTAATAATGTTATCGTTTAGTTTTTATTTCATTGTCAAGTACCATATTTGTTATTAATTTTTGTTTCAAAATGGGATAAGAAAGATACATAGATAATATTTAAAATGGAAAGACAGAACCATGTTTTTGGTCTTGAACACTCGATCCTCAGTTTGCATGCAGTTTATAATAATTTTAGCACATTTGAAAACACTTCAAAGCGGATGTAGTACATTTAAATGATTATACCTTAATCAATCATTTGTTTTCACACTTGACAGTCAATAAGATATAAGAAATCTTGCCTTTCAAATAAATTTCAATGTTATATTTCACAAATAAAAGCCTCACCACACGAGCACTCACAATCATGCCAATATGAAGTGTAGTAACTCATCTTAATACAAGGAACATTGTCTGGTTCTCCTGGTGCCCACTTGAAAAACTCTTTCTGAGAACCATTAACGGTTAACCATTTTGAACTTGTGTCCTTGCGCCGACCATCAATATAAACAAATCTCTGAAATCCCTGCATTAATTTCTTTACATCACCATATTTCAACTCTGATTCAATGTTGATCACGTGACCACCGTCTGCCTGACACTGCTTTTCCGCAAGATCAAACGTTGTCACTTCATCATACAGTTTCACACAGAATCCGTTTGCAGTCACGTTATAGTCATTGGGACAAAATCCCTCACATATGCCGATGTCTGTTTCAGTCGTCAACTTATCCCTTGATTTATATCTGCCACACTTTCTCGTTCGTCTCCGTGTAGCTATGTACCCTCCCCTAATTGCGCCACATCTTGACCACTGTGTCCAGTCATAACAAGGGCTTCGGAAATGTTCTAGGTTCCGTATTGCCATCCCTAACAGTGTTATGATTGGCTTACCCAGCGTTCTTCCCAACTTCAACAACATTTTGCCGTTAATGTCTTCCGCGGCTGTTCCATTACTTTTTGTCAGAGACGCAGATGAAATGCCCATTGTCACTATTACGATTAAGACGCTAAACACAAAACGTATTTTTCCTTTACTCATATTGGTATTCAAAGTTACGCTTAACGTTTGATTATTTGGTTGTATACAGAAAAACGTTTGAAAGTTTATCTGAACGGTATGGAATAACGATACAAAATTAAATATCTTTTATATGTAATACAAAACACGCTCTTGATCTTTTCCATGTGCTTTAAAATTAGTGACGCACGGCTTATTCTAAGTGCTGCTTTGCAAATATAAACTGACAAATTTGAGTTTACAGTTATATAACATCTTGATGAGTGTAATGGAAAAAAACGCTGTGCAAATTATACTTAATGATTTAAAATATAACTTAGATAATTTAAATTTGAAAAACGTGCATTGCTTGTTATCAAACATTATTTTAACAAGTCTTAATACAGTTACACTTAATGGTCCGTTTGTTGCGCAATGGACAATTAATGTTAGAGAATGCAATAGGTAAGGCAATGTTATTCTATACACTTAACTGAATCAACACTTCATCGAGGTTATGTAAGCTTAAATAAGATAGCTTGATGGTTTATAAAGGTTCTTAGCTAACACAATAAATTTTATTTATTCATTCATATGTAAAGTCTCCAGAAAAGAAACTCGTTTTAAGATATATGAACAGTCCTGGTAAATATTCATTGGTAACAAGTGTTATCTCGGATATGGCTTTTGAATATCGCTGAAAAGTCGGTAAATCTTTTCTGTGTATATTTTTATCTTGTAACGTAATGGTTTGAAAAATATGTATTGAAAATGATAATTATTTAAGTATTTGTGTATGGAATCCTTGATTTTAATTTTCACGGTTCCGAAATTACCATTTCAGACAGTGTTAATATTGGCGTGTTTTTATTATCTTATTACTGAAAAATCATCTCATATTCGGGCGCGGATCAAGGACTTTTTAGCAGAGAATGTCACATACTATGTTTTCGTCATAGGTAACCATCGTCTTGAATTCTTTTCTAAGAGGAAGCCATCCAGGTAGCTTACCGGGCGCAGGTGATTCTACTCAGGTGCCCGTTTGGGCCTGAAATAATGCATGGAAAGACCTGAGGTTTTCCTCATAAGTTTAGCTGAAAGTCGCCATATGACCTCTACTGTGTTGGTGCAACGTAAAACACAACTTAAAAAGTGCAAAAGTTTAGACAGTGTGAAAATTGTTTCAAAATGTAGTATCTATTCTATACCAATGTTAAACAATGTAGAACGCAAAAAAAGCATTTCTTTAACTATTTATGTAAAGATATCTTGTACATTGTGCCACATATTTGTCAATTTATGCACCCTACCACATACTTCAAAGCCGTTAAACTTTTTCGCCGCCGTTCCCTAATTGTGTGTCTATGGCGAACAATTTAAGTCCATTTTAACTAAACTTATATTTCTTCCATTCATTTATTTATGTATTTTACATGTTATAATTATTAATATATTATCACATATTTCTGATAAGTGTAAGTTTTTACGTGTAAAATAATATATCAAAATGGCTTATCTATTAGTATACTTAACAAAGAACGCACAACGTTGACACATTTTAATGATTTCGTCATACATTCCAACGTTTTTTGGGTGATATTTGACTAGCTACTACATAAACTGTACAATAAGACGTAAGGTTTAAAGAAGTTGTGTCTGTGTCATTTTAATATGGAAATATCTCACTTTCAACTGAGATTTCCATTGATTATTTCATTCGAGGGCGCACGTGCTCTTAGAAATATTTTTGTTTCATTCTCATTTCTTAATGAGATATGAGATACATTAAATGTTCACTCAACACAAACAGACGTATTTTCTGTATCATAATGTTGTTGACAGTTTGTGTTGAAAATAACAATTAAAGATATATGAATACTTTTTACAATATCGTTTATTAAACTACCTCTTTCATAAAATCGATTCGCGTAACATCAGTTAATGTCCTGTCCATGTATAAAATTGTGCACAATGTATATACAATGCATTACATTTATGTTGCAATAAAAACATGTTCGAATGAGATTAATTGAATGTTTATTTATACATTGTGTGTAGTATTGAAAGAATGAAAACATTCCAATAACATACCATTATCACGCCTGTTTTTGCTATGTATAAAGATTATAAAACAAAACATATCATATGTCATATTTAGATCATTATTATTATATAGAGTATATTTGCTCAACATTTTTGTTTTATCTACTACCTCTAGAGCAGTCATATAGAATACATATGTACATAAATATAATCAAAACATTTAAAAATGTTCAATTAACTAGTACCACGACCCGATCGGCACTATAAGGAATTTAACAATTGACAATTGATTCCCCGCTTGGGAATAGTTTATAGTGGCGACATGGCTGAGTGGTAAAACACCGGATTAGTAATCTAATGACCACCAGGGGCACGTCGTTGTTTCCTTGAGCAAGAAACTTTACACTCATTGCTCAGTAATGGCTGGTTCAAGGAACGGATTCGAAAATGTGTCTATATGCTTATAGCTTCCTACACAATCGAACTGATATAAATTATGTATAAACCAAACAATTTGCAACAACATTGGTCTGTATAATGCTTTATAGCAGGCCTGCCTGGAAAGTTTTTACACAATTGACCGTATTCGGTTAACGGGTTATGGATACCTTTCTGAATTAAAACTTGAATGTTTGAAGTGCTTTTTTTCTGAAATAAGAAAAAAAGATACAAATTATCTAACAGGCATGTATCATTTTATGACAAATGTTTTTCTGTTGAATATGATAATGCTAACTCACAAAATCAAAATGGATATATTTCTACTCAAAATGTCTGAAATATGTTTTAAAATGTAACCCTACCAATTTTAAACACTAATATTTTCTTACATAGAAACAAAAAGTTTACCAAAATGAGAACAAACCTGTTTTTTAAAGTTTCTTTAGCATTTTCTCAAAAGTATATTGACTGATTTATTTAGATATTTAATAATGTTATCGTGTAGCCTTTATTTCATTAGACTTTGGAAAATATCGGGTACCATATTTGTTATAATTTTTTGTTTCCAATAGGGATTTGAGAGATACATAGATAATTTTTAAAAAAAGAAAGAAAGAAAAAAATGACCCTTCTTTGGTTTGAACCCTCGATCCTCAGTTTCACTGCAGTTTATAATGATTTTAGCACATTTGAAAACACTTCAAAGCGGAGGTAATACATTAAGATGATTATACCTTAATTAATTTTATTTTCACAGTTGATAGTCAATATTGAAATTTTGTTTTAAAGTCAGTTCAGATATAAGTTAATCTCTACAAATCCTAAACAAACACATGATAAATAAATTATGCCTAAAATTGCTATTTTTTACATACACATGTCATCTGGACAAAAAACAGATATAATGGATATCTATATTATCATTGGTCTTCTTTATAGTTTGAGTCAAAGTACATATAATTGTTCTATTAATTCTACAAACAAACCACTTTGGATTATCCTAGTATGATGTCTTAGGTATTTTGGATCAAAACCTAAGCTTAAAAATCAAAATGGCGGTCAAAATTAAAAATGGCCGCCAAAATGGCCACCAAAACCCTGTATTTTAAAATACCCTTCAGTAAATATACAATGTGTTGCAAAATAATGCAATATGTAGAGTTATATGTTATTCTTATTTGTTTTAAATTGGTTCTCATTATATTCAACATAATGCAATGAAACATTTTATGGTCACTGAATAATATTTAACACAATGATTATAATTTTGTATGTTGTAATATCCATTGTTACATTTGCATAACATTGTGTATGGAACATCAGCTTTAGTAAATTTACATCTCCCGCGGTAGCCCTTTTCCCAAGTTCAACTACCCTTTAACAGTTCCATACATGATTTTGCTGCTGGCAACAAGTATGTCCACAGAGGCTGTCATGGAAACATAAGATCAGCTTTTTTTGTCTTGACCAAATTTTTTAAGCAGTGTGTGTATTGGCTTATATCGAAGGGTACTACTGTGCGTGCCAAATTCAATCCACAACTGATCAACTTCACAGGCATTTACAAATAATCCGAAATTGAAGCTGCATGCCTCCAGATGAGCCTAAATATTTTGTAAGAAAATCATCTGGGAAAAAATAATAGTAAAAATTTAAGTCTGGAATTGTGAATAGTTAACATTCGTAAAATCTCGAACATATTTTTTCAGTCATAGCATGGGTGGATATTTCCAAGGTTCCGAATTGCCATTCCTAACAGTGTAATTATTGGCTAACCCAGCGTTCTTCCCAACTTTAACAACATTTCGCCGTTTACGTCTTTTGCAGCTGTTCCGTTACTTAGTAGCAAAGAAGAAGAGGAAATGCCCATTGTATTTATCAATAGTAGGGTGCTGAATAGGAAACATGCATCTTTCCTTTATTATTATTTAATTTCGTACACTTCACGTTAATGATTTAGTTATTTGAAGATAGTTATCTATTTTTTAGAAATGATCAGTTAGACCTTTCGGTATGAAATGACGATTAAAAATGAAGTTTCTGTTTGTAATGAAAACAAGTTTGATATTTTACCAACGTGCATTGAATTAGCAACTAAGGCATAACGTGGCTGTTTGCAAA